TTATTCCTAAGTATTTTATCTTCTTGGGGGCTATTGTAAATGGTATTGATTTGGTGATTTCCTCTTCAAGGTTCTCTTTGTTGGTGTAAAGGAATCCACCTGATTTTTGTATGTTTATCTTGTATCCTGAAACTTTGCTGAAATCTTCTTTTAGTTCCAGTAGTTTTCTGAGTATATATTTTTGAATGAGAAACTACTTGACGCTATAAACTTTCACCTAAAGCACACACACAAACCCTGGCCAGTATTCCTCAAAACTCACAAAGTCATCCATCACAGGTAAAGAAAGTCTGAGAAACTGCCACAGCCAAGAGGAGCCTAAGGAGACATGACAACTAAATGTAATGTGGTGTCCTGGATGGGATCCTGCAACAGAGAAAGAACATTAGGTAAAAACTAAGGAAATCTGAATAACGTATGCACTTTAGTTAACTGAACAAAAAATCATAGATACTTTCAAAAATAGGACATACCTCAATTAGACATATTATTTCAGTCTAAGTAGATAATAAAGATCTATGTTGATTGAAGGACCCCTCACACTAAAGCTGAGGCCCCCTGTGGAGTTTGGTGATCAATATCCTGAGAGGGTAGAATACTTCTCTTGACTAGCATGACTATTTCACTATTTTGTCACTAGTCAATATTTTCAAATACAGTCGTACCTCGGTATCCTCGGTGGATTGGTTCCAAGACCCCCGTTGATACCAAAAGCTGCCAATGCTCAATTCTCTTATATAAAATGGTATAGTATTTGCATATAACCTACGCACATCCTCCTGTATACTTTAAATCATTTCTAGATTACTTAGAATACCTAATACAATGTAAATGCAATATAAATAGTAGTTATACTGTATTTAGGGAATAATGACAAGACTCGAGGCAAACAGTGCTCAATCAATGAGTGCTGGAGAGACTGAAGAACTGTGAGATGGTGGGAGGCTACAGCAGGGTATGCCTACACATCCCTTCTTTTTCGTGGATTCAGTGTAGGGCTCCACATGTGGCAAATTCAAGTTTTGCTTTTTGGAACTTTCTTATTTTTCTTCTCTGAATATTTCCAATCCCTGGTTGGTTGAATCCGCGGATGTGGAACCCATGGATGGAGAGGTCGACTATACTACACATTTAGATTCAGAAAGTTTTCCTGACTAAATTTCTCTACATATAGGGAAACCCTCTCCTTGTGGGTGGTTGATCTTGCCCAAGGCCATACAGAAGCCAGCAAAGAAAAAAGGTCAAACCCTGCCCTTCCCCCTACCCCCCCAGGTGTGAGCACAAAGCCTCCTTCTCCTTTCAAATGTCAGAGGCAGCCTCATCCCAATGTCCTCTTCTTAGGGCAGTTTGTTTCTCATATAGTTGATGCTTGGTTATAGTTCTTCCACAGTTCTTTCAACTGATAACTCTGTGAGCTTAGGGCTCCACTCCCAAGTAAAGTTTTAACAAAAAGTAACATGTTTTGCCAGCTCAAGGTCATTATTTTTTACAGCCAGAATAGAAAAGATTTCTTATAATCTTTATCCCCTTAGCAGTAGTTGCTTAGTTCTTTATTCCATTTCTGTGGGGGCAACAGTAATCTTGCTGACCAATATTCTAAGGGCGCTGAATCAGCAAACTTGGAGGGGCCAGGAGTCAGACTGTACTGCTCATGCAGAAACCCCTGCTGGCTCAGCCTCCCTGCTCAGTGAGAGCAGCTCTCCTCAGGGCAGCTGGGGTGGGGATGGTCATGACCTTTGGTTCTCAGGCCAGGGGCATGATGCTAAAACCACAGAGAGAGATAATGGCCTTAACAGACACCTTGCTTAATCCCAGGATCTCTGAAGAGGGAGGTACTCCTCTGGAAGAATACAGTGAGTCAGAATAGAGTTATTTCTTTCACTTCTGTACTTGGAAAAGTTCTTTTTCTAATTGTGTTTAAAGCTACACCTAAGATCTAGCCTAGAAATTAAACATGATGAGAGGATATTTTTAACCCATTCAATTCATTATGGTTTTTTCAAGCCATAACATTGCAATGTACTTTGAATATGCCCAATAAATACTGACAGTGATGATAAGCGCAATCAGTAAAGAACCTTCTCTTTCTCTCCCTCTCATCAATCCTCGTCTTCATCCTCACTTATTTTTGGACTGCCCTGTGCCAGGCCCTGCTAGGGATACAAACCTGAATTAAATACACTTTTATACTGATAAAGTTTATAGCCTAGCGCGAACTACCCAAACATAAATTAAGATGCCTTTTTTTTTCTAAATTTTTTTATTGTACTTTAGATGAAGGGTTACACAACAAATAGTTTTTCATTAAACAGTCAGTACACATACTGTTTTATGACATTGGTTAACCCCATGACATGTCAACACTCTCCCTTCTTGACCTTGAGGACCTTTTTTTTTTTTGGTGAAAATATACATAGCCAAAGTTACACCATTTCAAAAGTTTCTACATGTACAATGCAGTGACATGGATTACATTCTTCCAGTTGTGCTGCTATTCTTACTATCCTTTTCCAAATTATTCTACTACCATTATCTTCAACTCACTACCCCCTAGGCTTCCCATCAAACCTTTTGAGTTGCTGTT